ACAGAAGTGCAAATGTACTTAAGCAACCGATTCATCATAGAACAACTTTGGAAAAGCCCTCATGTCCATAGCTAATCTGTTAGCATTGACAAGAGCAGCAGTAATCATGGTTGATTAGTATATCATTAAAGATAGCGTAATAGATCAATACCTAGACATGCAAGTTTAATTAGAAGTAGAAGTACACATTTTAAATGTACTTACAGTATCAGAGAATTTATCTTCGAGGCAACTTTAGAAACTTTATGCTGAAATGTTGCCAACTGGAATCATGCCAAGGCTAGACGCAAAGAATGAAACAGTGGAACATTTTTAAAAACAATTTATCAACACGTAACAAGCTCAATTCTTCTCCCTTCTGCGATCACGATTCGAATCGTTTTGAGATATCTTCGCAGTGAAAGTTTGAAGTCGGTATCAATCAATCAATCCTTAATTGTCACGACAGCCATGTGTAATGCCTTATAAGTTATACCCGGCAACCTTGACAGACCAAAAATCAGTTCAAACAAATTCATTGCTAAAATAGTGTACTTGTGCTATGTTTTCTGTGTCTTTTTGTCTGTCAAATAATATCTTACATCACGGATGTGGGGTCGCGTGGCGTAACGGCAGAGTGCTCGAGTCGGAACCAAAAAGTCCCGGGTTTGAGTCCTGACATGCCACCGATCTTGTGCCCTTGGGAAAGGCACTTTACACGACTTTCCTCACTTCGCGCAGATGAAAATCATAATGAGTATTGTATTGTCCCCTGTGTTGGTGGCGGCATTAATATAAGTTGAAAAAACTTGAGTGTGTCCCTACCACGTCTTGTGATTACATGTTGGAATGAAAAAAAAAATCATGGATCATATTCCAAATACAATGTACAAAGTCATATGTTTCATACATATTGGAATTTGGTCGCACACTGGTCTCTGTCAAGTGGGAAGGGAGCCTTACTGAGGAAAACAAATTTCTGGAGTTCCGCTTTTTTGATTGTACCGTAAATGGAGTCGAAAGTTTGTCCTTTCCGAAGAATAAATTGACCTTTTTAATGTTTGTTGTTTGGAATGTTACCAGTACAACTGTTGTATTTTGAGATACATTGTAAATGTCCGATAGTGACCCGTCCAATGCAAGAAGTCTACCATATCCAAATCTGATCTTAAAATTTTACACATCCAAGCTCGATCATTCCAACCTCCCCCTACCTTGACTTCCAGACCACTTTCGGGCGCATGTTTTCAATAGATCTCTGCCCCTCCTAGACGTTCTCCAGTCTTTTTCTCTCTCTTGTTTTCTAAACTCTCGGTCCCAGGTGCTCAGTGTACTCATCGCTCGGTACTGACCCGAGAGCAGGTCGTTCACCTCAGACGACATTGACCCGGGAAGGTGACGTCATTACCGGGGAGTTGTGAGTGTGTGTACGTGACCTCGTGCAAGTGCCGGGTGTTTATCCGGATTACTCCCGGCGCTGGCTGAGCTGAGCTGGGGAGGATACCTTAGCCCCTGCCGATAACACTTTTCAGTCAAGTTACCGTGGGTAGCAAGCTCCAAGCAGATGTGTAGGACACGACTCAGTTTTTATTACTTTTACACCTTCTTTTCTTTCCCGTAGAGAGTCCACCATTGCTGAGAGACAAACATTCAACGAATTTTATACACAGAGAACGAATCTTGCAAATGTACATATCTTGCTGTCTTTTAGACATATTTTTTTAGATATATTTTTTGTAATATCTTACAGCATATTCCGATTATAAAGCCAACTTGAGGATCACACAAATGCAATTTTGGTCGGTCAGTGATCACCTGGCTGTGGTGAGGAAATCTTACGCGTGTTTTGAGACTTTTTATGCGTCTTTCAAGTGGCATCTCCTCCGTTTTGAATTATACGGCAGTACATGTCTATTTGGCAGGCAAATTAACTTTGACATCATTAGAGGCGTCACAATCTAGACTCTCAACGACGTAATTAAGTTTGCTTCGAGTATTTGCGAAAATATTAAGTGAGTTTGTTTGCTTTGCGTATGAACGTGTTTAGAAATACGGGAGAGGGCTAGTTCAGTAAAACTGGTCATGGAGGCGGTTTAACCTATTTAGATTTCCTAAATGTGTATCTCTTCAGGGCATCATTTCCTTTGATAAAAGGACCCATATACAATACATGTAAACTTTTTTTATAGAAAGATCTTTTTCTCCAATTCTTTCAGATCTACGAAGACGTCGATTCTGTTTTTTTGTAATCTTGGACTATCGGATAAGGTGTTGGGAATTGGCGCGTAAAACAGTTATGTGAAGTTTAAACGAAAAGCTCACTGTGCATTGGAGAATACATGTATCTATGAGTATTCAGTCGGACAGTGGAGTTTTCTTGTTTGTTCTTTTGCATAACTGGTGGGCCGCCTTTAGGTACCAGTTTTGTGCAATATTAAAGTGCAAGCTACATAAGACCGGACTGTGAGGTTTTATTCACTCACACCGGAATGTTCGATAAGTGTGGTCTAGGTGTGGCTGGCCTTCAAGACCTCCAGCTTTGAGAAGATGTCCCATCCGAGAAGATGTCCCTCATATATCCCTAACCTAGGCCAGGTGTACACATTTTCAACTGAGTCGAGTGAGGAAAAAGTGTATTTCTCAATGACACACCTTTCGGCCGCCTGCTAGAGTCTGGATCCTAGCGTTATATCAAAAGACCACCCTACACGTACAACCTTTGGTTACTAGGCTATTAGTTATATCCACTCGACAACCTTTCCATCACAAGTCAGTCTAAACCTGCTGTCAGAAGTCTATCACACGACGCAAAAGACAGGGCCTCAGTGATACAGGTCTCTCAAGGACACGGGAGGTGACTGATGACCGATCATACATTACTCAGCGCGGCAGTGGAACGCACATTAGGTAATTAGGAAGTAACAAATGACGAGGCACGCGAGCTGATCTAATAACCAGCTTCATCTCATGCAAGCTGGCACCTCGCTGACGTCATGATGAGATGCAAATTTGTCATTTCCTTGTTGCCGGGCGTTGGCCGTCCAGAGGAAACAGGTGTGTTGGAAATTAGAAAGAAACGGTCGGTTTCTCTCAATTGTCTTCATCAATCTACGATATTTCCATAAACAAAAAAAAGTGGAAAGATGCATGGATGTTGTCAAATACTACGGGAATTATTAAAAATTGACCATTTTCTAATGTTCATTTCATGACCTTATAGATGAATCATGACATAAGGGAGTAGCTCTAAAGAATGCTTGCAATCAGACTTTAACTTTTTTCCCAAGAAAATGCCGAGGGACACACCGAACCTGATTAATCATCTTCATCTGAATATTACTCACTTCAAAAGGGTCCAGTTGATTGAGTAATTACGATTATTACGGGGCGCTCCTGCTTTCATGCTCTCTTTGGTTGCAGGTCATTGTGATTGTCAAAGGCTAGCCGCCGTTGTTTCCGAGAAGCAGTCGGGATGTTTGGCCTTTGTGTGGTCTAACAATGGCGTGTTCCCCCATAGGTGAGGAGTATTTGTGGTGGTCGCACGGAGGTAGGGACGTTACCGAGTCTTAGTCATCGGTAAGCCAGGTCTTGTGAGAGATTTACTCATTTAGTGTGTATCATTAAGTATTCAGGTGATTGCTTTTGCTCTGGGGAAGCGAACAAAAGAATTTACAAAAGTATGCAGGCGACTTTTGAAAAAAAAAAAGAAAACGCAAATTGTACCCTGATTGAGATGAAAAAAGAGATACTGCCTTTTTTTAATTAAAAAGGATCGTCATTTGGCAGAAAAAGAAACACCCATCCAACCGGACAGGTGCATGCTATCTGGTCAATCCACGTTCAAGACCAGTTGTGATCGCTCCCTGATATTCATGTCGTTCTATATCAGTATATACCTGCTACACAGGCAAATTTACGTTTCGTGTCCGACGATTCACACGAAGACATGATCATGGAAAAGAGGCCTGACAATCTCTGCAGAGAGAAGATTTTAATTTTTTAAAAATCATTTCGTCAACAAAAACCTTTTTATTATTTCAAATATCGGTATACCTGCTTTTCCTTTGAAAATCGACAGGTGTCTTTGACAATCCGCATGGCAGAGTGGGTTGTAGCTATCCATACGCGCTCGAAGAATGTTTTGGTTTGAAAACACACGCTTGTTTCTGAAAACTGAGAGTGGAATTGCGTTGCAGCGATGTACAGTATATGCAAATACCGATGTTGTGTAACACATGTAATACTACACATATATCGATGGGGGGCGTTGCACATTGTGACCTCGGGTCAAAGGGGGCGTGGCGACCTAGAGACTTAGGCACGCCGCCATGCGGTTGCTCGTCACGAAAGCAGCAAGCATGGCGGTCGGGGAAGGAAAGACGTAACAACACACGCTCGGGGCTGCCCAGAGCTGCCCTATAAGTTACATACGTTAACGTTACTCCAGGTGTGACTTCGCCGTCATCAAGCGCCGCCATTGTAGGTATGCGTTTGACGTTTAGCTTAATTTTATGATAGCAGAGGGGAAAATGCCACTGCTCACCGGAAGACGCCCCCCTCCCCCATGATGTTGTATACACCGTATACACACGTGGTTTTGATGTGTTCGTGATATTAACGTGTTTTGACGTGTTAGTAAGCATAAAGAATCCCTACAAGTTTTAGATGAATATGGGTTAGAAAAAGTACAAAAAATTCAAGTTCAACCCAAGTGCACACTGTTATATAACGTTACCTTTATATATCTCCTTTGTTGATATCATACCTTCATATAAAAAAAGTTGGTATATAATTGCTGCATCATCATTCGGTTATATATTCAAATAGAAATTATGAAACCAAAGGTTTACACTTGAAAGATAATTGCATTGCTATTGATTTGTAGCTCATATATACCAATAAACAACAACAATAATGTAAAGTTTGTTTTCCTCAAAGAAAGAAGTTGCCAACCACAGACGCCCACCAAGATGCTGTATACAGAAGTGGCAGCCATTCTCCAGAAACTGGAGAACAAAGAAGGAACCGTCAAGTCCCTGGTGTACAACAGCCAGCACAAGGTGTGTTCAGCTGTTAGTGGAGGTATATCGGGACATGTAAATTATGATCAGACTAGCTATGATCAAGGACATTATACTTATATCTGTGTATAATGTCCTTGCTATGATCAAGAGCCACCCTTCTGTGGACATGCAATGTCTTTAGCCTCCACCAGGCTTGGTGAGGGTCTGCTAGCACATTCGTCACACCTGAATGTGCTCCCTTTGTCAAGTTTGACTTTATGGACCAACTCCCCTGGCATGTTATCTGTCTATGTGGCCAATTTCTACTCTTTTCAGCCACTTCCGAAGCCTGGTAGAGGCTACAATACATGTATATATATCATTTATGGTCAGAAGGTAGTTACGATTTTGCCACTGGAAGATCTGCTTGGAGATTAAGTTCAGGTTAGAAAGAGTCAAGCTGCCATTGGTCAGTTTATTTTAGTGAGGAGAATAGCATTCATGACTGTCATGTGGAATATGACCTTGTCTATTGCATTTAACCAATTGAAGTACAACGAACATGTAGGTTTCGGGTTTAAATTTGTTGTTTCTATTGTCAACAGAACAAGAGGCAGCTCTACGCGCTTCTATGTGAGACCCTGAAGTACGGCTCCATCATTGACGACATCATCACGTCCACACAACTGCTCAAGAGAGAAAAGTTTCTCAAGAAACACATGGCACAGGTCTGTGTTTTACCAGTTTTCCTAAAACATGTTTATTGTCTGTTCCATTCAAAAATCAAAGGAGGGTTGGTTATGAACATTTTGAAGAAGAGCTATGGTTGATAGAAAACTTGTTTTATTGTGGTAGGTTCTTGTGTATGAACAACTGTTTGGAAAAGGACTCCAGGTCGGAGGGAAGTACCGGGAGGCCATGAACAGGAACAAGACTGCCCTGCATGCCGCCCTGGTCAGGTTAAAGGTCAGGTCAAAGGTCAGCAAGAATGAAGACCTCCTACCTGATACTGTGAGGTCTCAAGGTGTGGATTTGAATTTTACATTTTGTATTCTATTTCTGTTTTAAGATATAAGCGGGGAAATGTATATTTTTATTTTATCTACTTTGCTTCAAAGGACCTAAAGTTAACAATACCATTACGTCGATGAAGGTTAGACATCCAGGTAATACGATATGCCAAAAAAGTTACTCAAGCAACTGGATATGATTTTGAACAATACCATTGTTTTGTTGTTTAAATTTAGTGTTTTCCTTTCTTTCACTGCAGTTTCCCTTCCACGTTATGTGAGAGTCAACACACTGAAGATTACTGTAGAGGATGCCATCAAGAGGTTAAAACAAGCTGGCTTTTCATTGGTGGAAGAACCAAGTGTGGAGTAAGAGAAGTTGTGAAATTCTAAAGATGTTTTATAATTTTATACTAGTACTAGTATTAGTATTAGACATGCAATGTCTTAGACATGGTGTATATCAAAGAGCTCTCAGAGCTAGAAATACCCACAAGCAAACTGGAATTTTTATGTCAAAATGAGAAATTTAGCTGTTACAATGTCAAGACTTGGTTGTGACCACTTTTCAGGAATTTTAGCAGCACAATAAGAGCCCTGGAGTCAGGACAGTTTGTACAGGACCCCCACATCCCCGCCCTGCTAGTGTTCCCCCCGGGGACTGGTTTCCATGACAACCAGCTGTACAAGTCAGGAGAGATCATCCTCCAGGACAAGGTGTGTTTTTAGACAGTTGTTCATATTTTTTCATCACAAAATCTGCTAAACTTTTCCTTCATAGCTAAGAGCTATTGGCAAGTAATGTACATGTCTCGTGATAATTTGAGTCCTGTTATGTTTGTGGTTCTACAAAAACAAGCATCTAGGTGCTTTTGACCCCTCCTTGAAATCACTTGACAGAGAACTCTGCTTCCTGATTGGTTGATCAATCATTTCCCTTTTGATTGAATTAAAAATGTTGTTTTCAGGCCAGCTGTATCCCTGCCCATGTCCTGGCCCCGCCCCCTGGAGCACTCGTGATTGACGCCTGCGCTGCCCCTGGCAACAAGACAAGTCACATGGCCAGCCTCATGCAAAACAAGGGGTATGGTACATGTATTTCACTAACAAAATTATGATCTTCTATGCTTACCTTGAATTTGTATATTTTCACCTTTTTACTAGAAACCACCTGTTGGCTTCTGGAATTAATATACTGACAGTCACATCTATAAATCCTACTCATTCACCATTTTCATTAAACACACTACAGGAAGATATTTACGTTTGACATTGACCCCAAGAGACTGGCGACCATGAGGTCGTTGACCCAGCGTGCGGGCGTGTCCTGTGCCCAGCTGGTCCATGGGAGTTTCCTGGACTGTGATCCGGAGGATCCCCGGTACTCAGGGGTGGAGTACATCCTGCTGGATCCCTCCTGTAGCGGATCTGGGATCACAAGCAGGCTGGATCACCTAACCGACGAGGAAGGTTCCATTACTACGGAGAGGTAGGGGCAGCATTGGTTATATATATAAAAGACCATTTGGTACAGATGTCATTTCATATCACATTTTACAGCATTTTACTTTTTGTATTCACCTTTCTACCTTATCCTAACACAATTTTAAAATGTCCAAAGGTTTCCTTGGTAGATAGGAAGTGAGAAACATCAGTGATGACTTGTACCATTCCAGACTGGAGTCCCTGGCGCAGTTCCAGCTGTCTGCCCTGAAGCACGCGCTGTCGTTCCCGGCGGTGAGGAGGGTGGCGTACTCCACGTGTTCCGTACACCAGCAGGAGAACGAGGATGTCATACAGGCAGCGCTACAGGTCAGGCAAGGTCTCATATGTACGTTTCCTGGTCAGGTTTTCAGTAGGGAACAAGTAGAACTGCATGTGACTCAAGCATCTTGTGTTTTGCTCCGTCCTCAATAAATGTGAACACAAATTGAAACAGAAAACCATAACATTATGCATTTCTTTGACATTCAAGAAACACAAAATTTGAAATACATGTACACACTAGGACTTAAACCACTAAACCACTACAGTTACCGGTACTGTCAATATCGTGTTACTGAGCCCCCCTCCCCCTTCATTCCCAGGAATACGAGGGAAAGTACCGTCTCCAGCACATCTTACCAACATGGGACCACCGAGGGATGGACACCTTTCCACAGGCCTGCAGGTGTGTCAGGGCTTCACCTGAACAGGACATGACTAATGGATTCTTTGTCGCCTTGTTTGAAAAGTACAACGAAAACGTTGATGTAAAAGAACCCACTGCATTAGGAAACGCAAAACTTGGAGAAAATGCAGAGTTTGTTAAAAAGAAAAGGAGGAGGAAGAGAAAGAAAAATGCTTCAATTGAGACAAGGACAGAAGACAATGAGACAAATGAGGCTCTAGGACCTAATGGCAAAGAAAAATTTGTAAATAATGTGCCTCAGAATGTTCAGACAGAAAGTACACCAAAGCCAAAAAAGAGAAGAAAAAAGAGGAAACAAGAATGATGGAGAAAAAAAGCAATCACCCAAGGAATGATGTAATAGAAAATGTAAAAAATAAATTTTATTCATGTAGAAAAATGCTTCAGAACCAAATAAGAATGAAGATGTTTTAATTGAATTTAAGTTACCAGAAGTTCTCAGTCAAAAAGTGGTAGAGCATACAAAGACTTGTAAAGGAAGCAAAAAGAGAGATGCTGACTCAGAAAAATAAACTTGAACTGATGTTCCATTATACATCAATTTATTGCCATCATAGTTTCCGTCCTGGTAAGTCTAACCTACACCTCCACCAAATATCATTCAAGATATAAAACCACTAAATTTGGTTCCTAAAAATCTCATCATGCATTGATTGTTTTATACAGGCAAATTGTACATTGCATAGAGTCCCAACAATAAAATGGCACGATATGGAAAATCCTACTGTAAGATTCCCATATCTGCCCATAGTTTATCTTTTGCATAGATAAAAACATTTCCTGAAATGGATAAGGCAAAGCAAGCAACACACAAACTTATACAACAGCTAACCCCTTGAATGGGGCTTCCATTTAAAACTATATTAGGCAAAATGACTGGCTTTACTATGGAGGCATCACCAAAAACAAGTTCAACTTGATTCTATGGTTTCAGTGTACATGTGCATAAAACTCACTCTCCAAGTGCCATAAAACATTTTCTGTGCGTATATCTCATGCATAGTTAACAATATATAGGTAAATGCGTGATTGTACTTTGATATATGGAATATGTACAGCTAAAAGCAAAACATTACAACGCAAGACAAATTTCTACAAAAGATATCTACATTGTATAATCAACTCCCAAAAACACAGCGATATTCCCTGAAATGCCTTGGTACATCTTGATTTGCATAGATACCTCAAAGAAAAATCATTGCTTAGCAATTAGATACCTTAAAAAAATGTTCATATAAACTTGGTATAAAAGACCATTCCAAAAGCTAAACTGTACAATATAAACGTCTTAGCTTGCAGAGCTTTGTGTAAATGGCAATTTACTACATGTCCCAGTATTTCTTATTGCTTTGGGAATGTAACTTCATGTATACGTTAACAGATAAAAATATTCAGAGTAGTCCAAAATGCAATTTGGTGTACCCCCCCTGAAGCTAATGGAGTTTGCCACCTGACCATATCAGTTTTATACTGAGGAAAGTAGGCGGCATTGTCCTTATATGACCTCTAGTATGCTACATCACCACAGAAGAGCTGCCTTTATCTTCTGGTATGAACTATCCACGGTTTTCAGGCTCTGCGCGCCGCTAGTCCGCGCCTGCGCGATGCACGCCCTGTTGCGGGTGATCGTGGCCTGCGCTTGTTTCACTTCCTTTGCGGTCTTCCCAGCCTGCTTCGCTGTGTCCCAGATGGCATCGGCCTTGGTGGCGACCTTGGCGTCCAGGTCGGCTAACATGGTGCCGGCCGCTGGACAGTGCTGCAGGACAGCCTTACTGGACACAACAACCTGGACAGGAGGAAGAACACAACAGTTTCTTTCTCTGTTATTGAAAGTACATGACATTAGCATTGTCAACTTCTCAAAAAGGGGATGAGCTACGGTTGTCCTGAATTTTTCCAGTTCATTTTATTCAAGACTCAAATAAATGATACTATAATACTACTTCTTAGTATCAAGAGACCAACAGAAGGAAATCAGTTATTGTTCAATCAGAAGAGAAAATGCAGACAAAAACAAACAGAAATCTTCCAAAGCCTTCCATACATGGAACCCAACCTTGGACATAAACCTGGCACCTTCAATAACCCGTCTGTTGTTTCAGCTATTTGAAATCTTCAAATGGTTTTAATTTTGCAGGGACCTCTCCAATGCATTACTGCTTTTGCACTACTACATAACTATTTTGACCAACACTGAGCAAGGACATTATACAGAATATATATATTATATATAATGTCCTTGCACTGAGAAAAACACTTTCCTCTCCTTCTACTAAATTAAGTCCCAGCAAAAACAAATAACTTTACAGTAACTTCCACGGGGAGATCTAGGGTGGTAACTCTGCTTGCCCCCCAGGGTCGCCCCAAACCTCCTGGAATGTTCCGATGACCTGACTTGTAGAACGACCTTGACAATGTCACCCCTTCCAGAATTTAGTAGGGTAGGCTGAGGTTGTCCTACAAACAAGTTCAAGGTTGTGCTGGGACATTTCTGTCAGTGGCAAACTTGCACTTCACCTAAAGACCTCAAGGTCACAGCCACTCAGAAGGCTTCTAGTTCAAGGGCAAAGCCTGACAAGTGCTAGCAAAGGGGGAGGTGGGCAACAAAAAAAAAAAAGCAGGTGCAACTCATTCATGCAAAGCCAAGGACGTTTGTCAAAATGTTGGTTTGTTGCAATTTACCAATGCCAAAACAATAAGACTTGATCAGCAATTTTTGACATCAAAGTTTTCCACATGTGTTTCTGTTTTGGGTTAATTCCATAGACTCCATGTGTGATAATAATAGTGTATGAAAGAAGGTTAAACCTAGCTGGATATCCCTAAATTGTTTGAAAACTCTGTAGTAGGATCAAATTAGAGCCTAAGTACCTTTGGTATGAACAGTTTACGTTTTGCTGAATATGTTTTGATAATCTTGTTAAGGGAATGTGTTCCAGCTTAAAATGTGTTTGGTATTTCAAAGGGTTTTCTCACAACGAAAATTTAGATGAACTGGAGTTTTAACTTCAAACAAGGTGAGAGGAATATTTCACAAATGCAAAGAACAACCCTGATTTTAAAGATGAAAAAAATGGTACTGGTACTACTCCTTCTCTTTCACCCTTTTATAAAAAAATATGATGTAAATATAACTCATCATTAGATGAGAATGAGAATACTAAGTTTAATCCAATGCCACATGTAACAATAGTGCTTGCAAGTACTAGTAACAACAATGTTTAACACATATAGCGATCAATGACTGTTATGTAAGATCTACAGAACGGGTAACAAGTCAATGGTAGAAAGTTACATCTCACCTGTGTGTGGAACACCTGTAGAGTTTCTGTGACCTCCTCTAGAACCTCCCCCTCCCCCTTCACTACCAGCTGGAGGAACCCACCATCATCTACAGCCTACAGAACGGGGGAGGAAAGATAACAAAAAGTTATGTAATTGGAGTTTTCCTAGTTGTGTATGACTGTCTAGAAAACAATTAACAAAATTAATGTCTTTCTCTCTGCTCTTCTGTTGATAACAATCTGGTCTCAGGTTTGACATCTTGAAAAGGTGATAGTCACCTGTTAATGTTATGTCTTTCTTTCCACAAATGTGGTAAATCTTGAACAGATAGCACAATGGACATTGGTTTTGCCTTAGATTATATTTGATTGTAACCTGACTACATCAGGCTTAGTGGCAATTCTGCTGGTCAGGCCCCTAGAAATGTGATGGCCAACACCTCTAAGTCAGGGGAACTGGGATGCTGTTCCTGTCTCTATGACCAGTAGTGATCTGAATCTGTCCCTCTATTTTCCAGCAGTATATATACATGTATATTATGCCTACCTCCAGGCTGTTCCCCTCCCCCAGTTTGTCCCTGACCCCACAGATGCAGTCCTCCAGGCTGGCCGTGGTGACAGTAACCATGCCTGTCTGAACACAGGCCCTCCTGAACTGCTCCAGGGACTTCTCCAGGGCACTGCTACACTGGGTCAGCTTCTTCAGCGGTGGGTTACACTGGTGTAGCAGGTCGTCAATCTGGTAGAAAAAAACAAAACAGAACAGGCAATCAGAGATGGCAGACTTTTGGGAAGTATTTGGAGTTTACGTGACCTTCAAGTTCACAGACTAGAATGGTAACTATGGCGGGATGTGTGATGTAATTAATTACATCACTTCCCAAAGTCCTCCAGATATACTACCCACTTCCTCCGGCCAAAATAATAATGAATGGTTTATTTAGTTCAAAAACCCATGCCACAAACTTTGCAGCCACAACGGCTGAATTGCGTTACGACATTTACAATTCAAGTCATGATTAAAAACATATTTACATCAACAGGCATAACAATTTGTATATATACATGCTTAAAACGTATTTACATAAACGTACACTTGCAATATACATACAAAATATAAACATTAAAAATACGCTTTTCATAACTGATTTATTTTCACATGTATGAAGATTTTGCTCAGTTCAGTACATCTTTCTTTTTCTACACCAAGAAATAAAAATTGTACCAACCTCCTGCAATCCAACCTCTTCCAGAGGAGTGAAACTATCAGTGTCTTGGCTGGCTTTTCTTTTCTTCCTCTGGCTTTGTTTGTTGCCTCCTTTCTTCTTAGCAAGTCTCTGTTGTAATTTCCTCTCCAGAAGATGTCTTACTAAAGACTGCATGGCTCTGTGGACTGAGTTATCTGACTCTTTGGCTGACACCAACACACTGAAGAACAACGGCATATGTTACAGCTCAAAAGAGACCTCTAGTGGCTATAATAATACTGCAGCTACTACTACTACAGCTGTATCAAACCAAAGAAACAGCATGTTGCAAAAAAGAGACTGGGTTTTCAAGTTAGATTCAAATTCAGTCACACAGTAGTTACCAAATTCCACAGAAAGTTTTCCAAAGAAGGATTTTTAAGCAAACTGACCAATTTGATTGGAGCAACCTTTGTGCAAAAATCCTGGGAAATGTTGGATGGTTTCACCCTAGTATCACATTGCATGTCAGAAGAGCCTCCTTACAACAAGAAATATATTGCACTTTCAACCTATGGAAACATCACCAGACCGATCCAACGGCCTTGCCCACCTTAGTCGAAACATACAGGAAACGAAAACATAGACATGCAAAAATTTGGCCTTCTCATTGGTTGAGCTGCTAATTTAGATTGACAGCCAGGATTGGCCTATGGCTTGTGACCTTGGGATGGTGATACCATAGACCAACTATGGCAATCACATGAAAGTAATACGACAATTATAGTCACAAGCCCACCTGCCCACAAAGCCGTGCAGTTCTGCTACCCTCTCCAGTTCCTGTACTTCAACAGGTGGTTCTTTCACAATGTCAGCCTCACCCTCATCATCAGCCTTTTCACGCTCACGTTTCACAATCTGACATTGCAGTAGGAATAAAAACAAAGGGTTCACTCACATGTTTAACCACATACAGAGTAACAAATTACATCAATAAAGCACAGACTGCAAAATACCTTTTATACACTGTCTCCAAAAGTTCAATAAAAGATACTCAGATAGTTAGCAACCAAGACCTGGCCTGGGATGATGGTTTCAGTTAAAAACAATTTCATACCAAAGATTGTTTTCTTGACAGGGCTCTAAATATAATGAAACTCAACAAAGCAACACAATTGGAAATTGTAGACTTCAACCTGTTACCTATACTGCTTTGCTACCCTTCAAGTCCTGTAGTCCCCCAAAGAGCAACAAAACAGAGTAGAACAAAATAACACAACAAAATATGACTTCACAATTTTTATTGTTTTTGATTCTGTGAGGCAAAATGTTTTCCTCACCTCATCATACTTGTTCCCCAGCAGCAGTACAGGAACGTGCCTGGCCATGTTGGGCGGGGTGTTCTCTTTCCCGTCTGAAGACGTCTCTGAGGCATCTTGTGTCAGTAAGGTGTTGTTTAAGATGTCCTGTTTCCAGGACCCCGCTAGTTCTATGGACTGTTTGTCTGTCAGGTCCACTACAACTGAAGGGAAGGAGAAAAAAATGTTTATTATCAAAAGATGACTTTAACTTATCTCAATTAGAAGGCACAGTCACATTTTCCTCTACATCTTTTTTGCATACCTCTGGGATTAGTACTGATATTATATAATCTATTTGTATATTCACCACTTTTTGTAACACAGCTGTTGAAATTATGAGAGTTGAGCACACATGAGAGTTCACATGGTTAACTGTAGAAGCACTGCATACATGTAGGCAGACGATATGATACCTATGGCAGCGTCAATGTCCTTGTAGTAACTCCTCCTGAGATCAACATCTTCACGTCCAGGCAGGTCCCACAGTGTGACGGACACCACCACATGGTCAGGGACGTTCACTTTACGCACCACATTGGCTGGAAGGTCAAACACATTTTCATCCAATCAGAAGTGGTGTTGTACCAAGCCATTTTTTGGGTGGGTTGTAACCTGTTGTGGCTCATGATTGGTTGAGCATGATGAGGAAAAGCCACCTCACATGTATTTGAGAGAAATTTTAGTTTTCTTACCAACAAAGTGCAAAAATGTACATGTAGACTGACAAAGACTTCAGGAGCTACGGTATGGCTAATTCTGTATGATTTATGGTTAGATATTACAGGTTTCAAATTCACATATTTGTCTTTAATAATGCAGTACTGTACTAATGAATTGTACTACTGTGTACCAATCCTGTAGTCCTCTGGCTTGCCCAATAGCAAGTTGTACAGATTTTTTTCTGAAATCTCACATTTTTAAACAAAATTGAAGCTTGTATGCATTAATATTTCAAGCCCTGTAATGTGCTCTTCAGTTTCTAATCTTTCAAACTTGCTAAGACAAGACACCATAAAAGAAGTCGTTATGTACAGGTCAACTACTGTTCCAGGTTTACCTATGTTGACAGATGTAGTCGGCTGGTAGCTGTAGTCAAACTGGTTCTTGGTATAACGCAGGAACACGCTGGATTTCCCTGCCTCAGGGTCCCCTGTGGAAACAAGTTTGCAACATGTTGGTTCAAGGAAATCCACGCTTAACAGGTGTCAATCAAGATTTTTCTGGTCCTGAAGTAAAGATGATACAAGAGTGTGGTTTGAGTCTACAATGTACTGAATTTACTTTATTAGGTATTAAACTTGAAGAAGGAAAATACTAGTTACTCAAAGGGTCAACACATGAGAACTGAATATAATGTATACCAGTAATAATACATACAGGAAGTGGTGGAAGAAGGAAATAAAATTGAATGGGAAGGCAATTTTCTGCAAATGATAAGTGTGTATCAGAAAAGTGTATAGGTATATTGCAAATCTGAAAATAAAGGTATAGCTATGGATTTGAAAAAAGGAATGAAACTCAACAGGGAAAGTTTTCAACTGATTTGTACTTTTTTCAGTACATGCATTACTGTGTAACAAGGAACAAGAAGAACATTTATACTACCGATAGTAATGTACATATTTGTCCATTTATGGTACTTTTAAGTTTGCGATCTCGCAAAGAAACACATTGAGACAAATATCACAGCCCCACCTATGCCCATATTTGGTCATATTGACCTGTATTTAAGGACATTGTCTCCCCCAGGGTTTCTTCCCAAAAATTTCCTTGGAAATATCCAGACGGGAAATTCTGACTCATCCAGAAATAATTATCCACATACGAGAAACCCTACCGGAACATGGAGTAGATAAGTGTACACACATTATTTAGAGCTGACCACATAAAGTACAAATTTGCAGTTCTCTTTATGAGCTGAGAGAGAAGTTGTAACTACACTGCATAAAAGACCTGTTGCAAAATATCTTTGTGACGTTTTATTACACAATACATGTATGTACCATGTGTCTGTAGCAAACTAACAGCTCACAAAACAGTGACCACAAAATCTTATACATGTACAGTCCATTAGAGTGATTCATGCGTGAATGATAGACAAAATCAAAACACTTCCTTCCTTGTTCTCTTCATAAGACAAGATTCAAAATCATGATGATTGAAACCTCAAACATCCTTCTGGTGACTGCAATAGACAAAAGATGCAAAACTGCATCAAAATTTGAAATTTCACCCCAAAAAAACAGGGATATATTTTTGGAACAGGATATATTTTGGGAACAGGAAAAATACAAGTATAGAAAAAAAGACTTTTGAAAAAAGGAAGGCATTTTGTATACACAAAGATAGAAAGTAAACAGTCGTTTATGCGTACAACTCCCAGACGACAGGAAATGTTTACGTGTCCCGGCACAGGGGTGTCCTCATTCCCTTCAGAATTCCAGTGAAATCAGCAGGAAGTTTTGTGTCTGCCCCTACAGGAAGTGGTACGATCCACACATAGGTGTGTTTCAAAACTCCTTAGTCACATAGGAACACCTGGATGGTAAATAACCATTATTACCTGCAATCTCACCTGGAGGATTTACTCAGGACAGACAGACTTACCTATAAGGACCACCTTGAAGACTGGAACTTCATCCTCCGGTAGAACACCTGGGACAGGTAGACACAGAGTAAGTATATCATCAGATGGTGATTTCATTTATTCATATCCATAGCATTATACACATACTGAACAGGATTGTGGAATTTGCTGGATTTCCTGTCAGATTATTATTCTGTTTTTCTTTCTGGAGAAACATTGTTTATGAACTGTTACATATTAGTATGTGGAAAGTTGAGTCAGGGTTCAACGACCCCAACAAACTTTTACTCGTCATTCTTAGAGGCACTCTAGAAGTAAGCATTTTTTCGCCTGTTTTTATATATTTCTTGTCGCTCCTTTTGTCCTTCTTTGTACTATTTTAGGTGGTGCAGTTATTTACTAGTTGTCTTGCTACATGCTATCTGATTCAAGATATTCTAACAAGTTGTTATATATTTCTCGTTGTATGACAAGGAATTGAAAAAAATGAAACTTTAGTTTCATGACAAAAAATGATCACATTTTGAAGTTAAATCACGGCAATTTTGACGGATGTAACAAAAAACAGGACAGCAGGGCACTTCAATCCAATCTAAGTGGCTTGAAGTAAAACCACTTGAAGTAAGAGGGCTGTTCAACAAAAACACTGAACATGAGCCATGAACTCAACCTTAGAAGTCAAGTTCAGATGAAAGTCATGGGAAACTGAGTCATCTAAGGACAATGAACTCAAGAAACCCCTGCCGACTGCCTTAAGCGTTTATATGTCACTTCTAAAAGGGACCGCCATTGGGCATTTGGTGATGACTAACACAGAGAACGAATTACAAAATGTCTAGATACAAATTCCTCGCTCCCAAACCCGGAAGAGAGCTTATCTCAGGGAATACCTAACCACCTAGACTAGATCTGTGACTGGATTCCATCATATAAAATACATCCGGAAGGAAGACACGTGTGTCATGTCTCTCTGTCATTATTAAGACCAGGAATATGTCATTAAGGTTGGAAAGAAGGAAGACCATATGTCTCACCTGCGGTAGATGATGCACTAGGTGCGCTACATCCACCACCCATTTGGGGATTTTTAGGTGATTGACAGGACCACGGCGACTGGTGCTCTCTTTCTAAGGTACTCTAAAGGTTCTAAAATGCTGGATTTGCCTCCTAACTCATTATTATAGCTGTATACGAACGCGACGGCCAGAACAAAGGTAACATTTTGTCAAAATTGTCACCTTAATTTGGAGCGGGAGGTATTTTTGAAGGCAGCACAACGGAAGTTTGAATGAATTTATCGAATATTCCCACTTTAAGCTTAAATTGAAAACAATTAGAAACTGTCATATTTTGTAAATTAAATTATTCAATTTTTTTGTACGATAATTTGGAAATTATTACTCTGCCGTAAATTTGAAGAGAAAACACTTTTCAATCGGGCTACATTTCTTTGCCTTTATAGCGGAGTGATCTTTTGTTCTGTCAGTTGACTACTTATGTTGCAGAGTTAGCTACATTTTGTTTCGTCTTTGTCAAACATTTTGAATATCAGCAACCTATAGTGAACTTAAGATGCCTTTATGGTGTTTGTCTAAAATGAAAAACAACATATAGTCAACCAGGGACACTTTTGTAGCGAGAAAATAGTGCTCAGGTGGAGGTACATATTATTGAAGGAGAGTGCATCGTCCTGAAGGCTTGGCCTTGTTGCTATAGCAACAGGCTCATTTATCCTGACGTCATCACTTCGTGTGCTCAATTAGTCACTTTCTCAAAGTTTTGCCCGCAGTCATGTGCGCGCTGCACTTGTTGTAGGTTCGTGTCATACTTTCACTTCTCACAAGCCTTTTTACTCCGTTTTCTTTACTTCTTCGAGTTTTAATCAATGAATTGGACTTTTTTGCACCTACATAAGGTACAATGATTTTCTTGTTTGTGAAGGTTCTACGAAAATTATGTTGCCGAAGGCGATCTGGTCGTCAAATCTAATTATTAGGCTGTCAATCACTTTCCCTTGTTTTACCGCAAATCCGTCCAGTCGATTTCGCAATTCGCAAGCAAACGCGCACAATAGTGTGTTTTCGGTCGCCGTTTCCAAACGAAGGTTGTTTCTGTGACGTGATTAATGGGAATTGTAACTTTCGCTTTCGCCGTTAGTGTATGTAGCGGGCTTTCAAATGACTCACACATCACAATAACGGGTTGTAACATGACACCGTCTCTGCTTAATTAGGATTGCGTTGTTCCTCCGCAGGAGGTCACGGGGCAGAGCAGACGATCTCCGGTAGTCCGACACACGAGGGTCGGTGACCAGAGCAGGCGGCAACACTGACGGTCCGACAGAAGAAATGCTGTGAACTGCGAACGTCTAAACTCAACAACATCAAACGGAGGTAAGGTTTACATAAATCACGCTCTTGCGTAACCGGACTACACCTTTTTCTTTTCTTATTCTATTCTTGGATCTTCTCGGACTGATTTGCCTGAAGGAAAAAAGGTGTGTCTTCTTTTCTTTGGGTTGTTGTCGAAAACAAGGTGGTACCCGCTGAGTGCCCATTCTTGTGGTGTTTTTGTTTGTACACCTCCGCCTTCAACATGTCCGATTGTGTAACTTGCGATTTCACGCAAGAACCAAATTATGAGCCGCCTCAAGAACAGATTGTCGAAGTCTTGTAACGAAGATATTTATGAGAATTGAAACTTACGCAAGGCATGTGAAAATGAAATATTCCTTTTGTGCTGGATGATGCATGACCAACGGAAGGAACTGTCTGTTATAGAATCCAGTAATCACCACCTTTATAACTCGGTTTGACGCACCTTGTTATCACAACCTTTTCCAAACACCTTGTACAAAACTGTCTTTCCCAAAACTTTGAGATCAAAAACCAGTGAAAGCTATCATTAGTAACAATAAAAACAGGTGAGAAACCTGCAAACAAAGGGAAGACGGAAGTGACTTTCTCTTTTGGAATGTTGTTAACACCTTGTTTGGTAAAGGGTAGAAGTTTAATAGACAGGTGAGATCTGTGTACGATTGTCCTTATTGTTTCCTGTTGAGTGATTACGTACATGCCCCACGTACTTTCCTGTGTGTTTTTCGCTTCTTATTTCCTGTTAGTCACTCACCAATGGATAGCAGTGTCATCGTAATCTCCTATGATTGAACAGTCTACTTAATCACGCTTTGCTACCTTTCTTTAATGTCGTCCCTTTACTTATCCGGGCATGCATTCCTAATTCCTAAATGTTTTAGGTGATGAGCTGGACTAGAAATAGTTTCCCTTTCAGTACATCACGTGTTGGCCTGGGGGGTTGTATCTTTTGTTTAACGCTACAGTACTACTAGTAGTCTTACTGCTGTGCATTAGTGAAAACAGGGGCGCACCCCCACAGATGTTCCCTTCAGCCTCTGCAGGCTGTTTTGACATGTGACATGAGAAACTGGCAGGAAATTGAGAGTGAAACCACACCTCTCACGTCAGTTTAGCCCGTGTATGTGTACGTGTGTGCTTAGCGATCTAGACCGTACGTTGGTTACGTGTAGCGGAAAACGTAGTAAAGCAATCGTGATGACTCGCTAATCGAAGATTAGTCGGTTGCCTTCCTGGAAGGGTTAACGACATTCATGAATTATCAACGGAGCAGAGCTTAGGTTTCTAGTGGAACATTTTCTGTCTGGTATTAATGTTTAGAAGATATTTCCTGAGGTCTTTAGTGATGACAGACCAGGTTTCTGCTTTTACAAAGTTTTCTTGTTTATTCAAATAGAAAGAAATAAAGATATTGAAACCAGATGGCTGCATTTTTTCTGACCTTTGTTTTCAACTTGAAGGTCGTCATTGCAGGTTTTAGTCATTTTCTGAGTTTGAAGACTTTGCTGAATGCTTTCAGCTTTAATGTCAGGGTTCACTTTTGTCTTCTTTTATCAAGGATTTGGGAAAATATGCAGTTAAATTTTTAGAGTTCTCAATTAATGAGTTTCAGAAGAATTTGACTTCCAGTCTGTACTTCATTAAACTGATTAAGTTCCTTCTATGCCCTTGAGAGTTTTGAAAATGTAGCATTCTTCGCATTTTCAAGTTTTCCGGTAATGGTGAAACTGTACGAAAAAGTTTCCATCAATACTCAAACTACCCTTTTTCTCAAAGATAAAACATTGTAAAAATGGGGTGGGGTAGCTGTTTTTGATGAATCCGATTGTTTTTGTTGTCAAATGGTTTGCTGTTTTAAAACAATGGTGTTTACAATCAACGAAATGCAGTCAATTCTCCAGTACCTGACAGTGTTTGAAAGTTCCTTGCTGTCAACTTCATAATTTGTTGTAACGGGGCTACGCACAATGTCTTGCCACTTATAACAACTTGGTGCTTGCCCATGCACTGATAAAAAGAATTTGCCACTTTCCAGATTGCATAGATAAGATCCCCCTCTTTACCATACAAGTGATTCTAATTTGGTCGCCACTTTGGCACATATGGTAAGACCCTCTCTGGTTAATCCCTCACACCATGCTAGTAACCTTCCCCCCAGCCCTATACCAATTACAGAAGTCAGTAAAAGCAAACTTGGGTCAAAAGGTCAGAGCTTGCAGCGCCTTTTACATTTTAAAGTCTATGTAAGTTTTTAACTGCCATGATTTAGAATGCAGACCTGAAACTGTGGTGTTTTCAATCTGGACACACAGTTTTGTATGAGCTTGTTTGAAAAGAAAAGTATCCTAGGAACAAGCTTATAACCTAGGTTATATCTTAGCCAAAAAATTTTGGAAAAACTGATAAAATAAAAACAACAGAATTACATTTCCCACTTTCCAGTAATTTTCATGTGATTTGGACTTGAGAATGAGAGATGTTATCAGTATTTGTTATTCCATGCATTTTTCCTTTCCCCTCAGAGATTTCTCGCTTTACCATATGGAAAACTGAAATTTCTTTTCCCTTATACTTCCATCCATATTTGTAATAAAAGAGGTCTCCCCCACTTTCTCCCAAGTGAACAGTTTTTACCTAGATACCAAAAGCTAGGGGGGTAGTGTTGTAATGCCCCATTGTTTAGGACCCCTATTAGATCTTTTCACATGGAAGCCCCACAAACAATAGGGTTTATTTCTCAAAGCCTGGCTCTAATAATCCTCAATGCAAATTTGACCTTGATGTGTTAATGGCGCATTGTGTTTGTGGGACCCCCAGTAGGGGTACAGACAAGAATTATCCTAACTGCACACACTTCAATCACTTTCTCTGGGTATTAGCAGGGATGTGTTAATATCTTTAGGGCATGTTTTTTATGGGGGTCTAAATGACCTGCTGTGTGGGCAGTCGGTTTGTTAGTAAAAGTAAGTCCATATACATGAGTGTGGCTTGTGTCCAGTTTTATGGAGCTGTGTGTGGGGTCATGTTGGGTTCATAAAACCACAGACAGTTTTTATGGCTTAAGTTTATGGCCCACTGCTTATGTTACTTCAGCTCTTCAAAGAAGTCGGCTACATTGTAACTTGTCTAAGTGTTTGGGAATCTGAGCCTACCAAGGTAAAAGAAATGTCCATTCCTTGTCCAAGTTTTTGAAAAATTGCTGATGATTTTTGAAACCTTAGAGAGCTTCCATGGAAGTTTCTTTTCAAAGGAACATGTAAATCTAAAATCTGCCCAGATAAACCTGTACTAATCTCCCAAATGCTGTGTTTATCACAGGTCTGTGTGTGTTGATTGAACAAGTCATTAACTGGAGAAAACAAGAAAGCTGCAAATAGATGTACTTGTAAAATCATTGTTAGCCACTGTAGTATTCCTTTTTGGCAGAATCATGTTTAATCTTTGAACTTTCCAGATGTATTTTGCTTTTCTCATGTCAAGATTAAAGTTGAAATTTGTCTGCTTTTGTTGCAAGTTCTTTACGTCATCACTTGTTATTGGCAAGCAAGTATTTTCCCTACAATTTACAAAGTACAAGAGTAATCTTTAACCTGTTAAGAATCAAAGAATGAGACATGCTTGTGGGTTTGTGGGTCATACTCATAGATCTACTGTGTTCATAAATGACCACAAGCATTTCTTAATAAAACAACTCTCAGTAACTGTAAACAGAATGACAGAACTTGTATCCGTTCATTTGACGGAAACGTCTTGATCCACCTTTCCTCTTCCTCTCCTTTTATAACTTCTCTTCAGGAAGTGGTTGACATCTTCAAGGGAAAAAAAAAGATGATATGCAGCCCTTCCTGCAAAGTCATTGACCCCTGAATCAGTGTTCCCAGTTGGCCAATGTCAAAGACAGCTGTACTCTA